CGGAATGCATTTTTCTCAACCTCCCCCGGAAAAAAAAAACGGCCAAACTTTTTTAGTCCAGTATTCTGTCTTGGCTCGGCTATCTCATAAGCACATGAAACAGGGATATTTGGTACATCCACCTTGTTGACCCAAAAGAAAACCTACCATTTATGGTCTATGTATTTTATTTTCTCCATAACCAAGGATACCTTGGTATATTCCTCTTTAACTTATTTTGAAGTGCAATAGGCAAACAGCCCATTTTATTTCCATTATGCAAGAGTACACATTTAAAACTACGTTTCGACGAATCAATAAATAAACGCGAATCTCTTGGATCATAGTTTGTTAATTCCATTAAAGCCATCAAACCGGGAATATTGTTGCAGAATACAAAATTACATTAAAACTAGAGCTGCTGGAAAGAAACTGCGTAGATTGGAAATCATGACGTCAAACTAGTAAGAAACAGTTTATAAACTTCATAAAACAAATAAAGTTTAATTTTGTTTACCGGTATTATTGAACAACGAATTTGTGCGTAGTGGATTAAAATCCAAATAACTAAAGAGGAGCAAAACGTTTCAAAATATTAATTTTTCTCAAAATGTATATTTCTAGGAATAGTAGCTTGGGTCGACTCTTTATGTTCGAAACACTTCCCATGGTCGCTTCATTTTATGCTTACTTCCATATTGTCGCTTGTCTCGTCCAGTTTTGGTATTTTCTCCACATGTTCAACAAGTTTTTCACCTTTCTATGCATTTGTACAAAATAAATTTTAAATTCGTTTAAAATTACATATGAAAAGTATATTGCTTATTTACCCGTCTCCATTTTCTATTCATATTTTTTCTAAATAAACGCAGCTGTCTTCGCCAAGCTTTACTATTTAGCGAATCGAAAAAACTATACCAGATGCTCAAACAAACGGGCTGCACTTGTAGTGCAACCCTGCGCTAATACGTCTTTTGACGCATGCGCAATAGTATGGTTATTTTCTCTTAGTGGAGACATTTTTTTCGCGTTAAAAAATGTTGCTGTAATACTTTATATTTGTTTTCTACAAATTTCCACAATAGTAATACTGATTTAAAATATGCAAAACAATACTTGGTAACATTAAAGATAGCGGCTTTACCACTTTAATGAGATATTCGCATACTCTCTTATACGAATTCAACTCGATAACTATGTTTCTTTTATATGTAATTATACCCTGAACAGGGTATAATTGACATGGCTTGCATGGAAAACTTTTTCATTTGACGATATATCACTAAATTCAGAATGGCTTATAATCTAAGGCATTGGTGCAAATTCCGAAGAAATTGTTCAGATCGGCTAACTATAGCACACAGCTCCCATACAAACTGAACGATTGGAATCAAGTTCTTGGAACGAATCATTTGGGTTTGTGAAGGGTATTATAGTTCCGGTGCAACCAAAGTTAACGACAGCTATTGACTTCTTAAGCTTGAAAAACACCGTTTATGAAATGTATTTTATCACGATAATTTGTATATTTTAGGAGATATGTACATTCAACCTTATAAAATTACAGAATTGTTCAGTTTTGACGCCATTCGCTGCTCAACTTAATAAATACATACACACATATATAAGTTCAGAGAGTATTCCGTCCAAATGTTCTGCTTTTACTTACGTACCAGGTGTGTCCCAAAAGTAACCGAACTTTATACAATCGAGTCCCGATAACTCGTCCTTCGCTAAATCTAAAACCTCAATAATGCGTAAAAAAAATCCCTAATTCGTAAAGATTCCATACATTTCGGTCGCCTCGCTAGTTCGTATATTTTTCGCAACGAAAACAATGTTCAACCTCATATAAATCGAAATTTTGCTTCGTAACCTCTTATGATTCGTAATGCAATTTGAAATGTCTTGCCGTTAAATCACCGTTAGGCTTTACAGACTGCCATGGCGCCATTAGCACGCTGTGCATGTTGAGTTTTGTGTTTCTCAGACTGTTTTGGCTTTTTTCAAGCGTAACATCATTCCGTAAACGCAAAAACAAAGCATTATTTTAGCCATTGATAATGGAACAAAATTCTACAAAAAAAAGAGTTTATTCTGCAAGTATCCTCTTCTAGTAAACTAGAATGGCAAAAATATACTGAATTTCCGGAAAAAACAATATTAACAGCTATACAAATTGCTTATAAAGCGTGGAAATATATTAGCAAAACTGTTTTCGTGCATACAAGTCAGAGTTCTTTATCGCTTAATTTTTTGTTATTGTAATTTTATGTTTCTGTTTAATTTTTAATTTTTATTAAATTTGTAAAATCCTCGTTTATTCGAATTTTTCTTTTTCGAGCCTCGATAAATGGAAATCTCGGTAAATCGTATTCCTGTGAAATTCGTTGAAAATGACATCTCCTTGCCATTTCGAATTATCGGGATTCGACTGTATGTAAATCAAAAAACGTGATGCGTTGTCTATTGAAAACTTTCTTGAAATGTAAAACTTGTATTTTCATGTTGAAGACTCGTTTGCTTACATTTAACATATGAAACAAAAAGAATGCTACTTTTTAGGTAATAGTTCACATATTTTGGTCCTTAAAATTAGCTCAAGTTGTTATTACACTGCAGTCTTTAAAACAACAATAAGAAGGGTTTTTTACAGAATGCAAGGCTTATATTATAAGAATTGAACTTAGTATAAATTCTGAACAAAAACTAAACAACTCCAAAAATAATTTACTTCATTTAAAAATACGCTTGTTTTTTCGCATCAAAAAAAAGTAAACAGTGTTCAATAAAGTTAAAATCAATTTTTAGGCCTGAGAATATATATGGCATACCTTATTTTTGATTAAGAGGGGGGGGTTGCATGGGTTTCACGACTTCTAAAAAAAAATATTTTTTTAATGTATTATTTAATTCTATAACATCGCTATAATATTGTCCTAAATTCTCAAGTTGATCCGAGTAATAGTTTTGGAGATGCAGCCTTGAAAAGTTGCGCTATCGAGGTCAGCTATAAAGTCACTTAAAACTTTAAATACATTTTTCTCGAAACTATTTCCAACTTCTGTTGTCAAGATTTCTCGCAAACTACTCAATCGATCTTAGTGGAATTTTGCACAGGCCTTCAAGACATAATTTACAAGATTTTGAACTAAGGCCTTTTTTCCTTCGGCCAATACCTAGTTTATGGTCTTAATTAAAACAATTATGTTTTTCTTTTTACTTTATATGATCTCTAAGAAGTACTGCTGTCAACGAGATGGCACCTGCGTTCTGAGGGCGTGACGGAAATGATGCAATGCCCATGTTTTGAATATTTTCCTTTGAAAATTTCACAAAATCTTTGTAAAATATGTGCCTTTCGAATCCTAAAAAGTGCGAATAAAATATTTAATTCTTATATAAAAACCAAAAAAATTATAGGTAGTTTTTTGCTCAAGGAAACCATGTAAGAGAGTTAATACTATCAACTTACCCGTTGTCAGTTAATGTGACGTCAACTTTATCCCGTACGATTAAACATTCGAGCTGGCCTCAATTCTCCATTGCTTCTCCGTGCTAACTGAGAACAAAAATATGATCCCATGGGCCATACATATATCATGTAGAAAAACACACCTTGTATTTCTTAACATTCATGAATTTCATCCGAGCCCGCTCTCAAGCTCACGATAATACTCCGCATTCGGGAAAACTCAATTTATAATTAATGTTGAAATTGGCGAAATTGAAGCTTATCATACTTTATCGGGCAGATTTACGTACATTCATCTACATATGTATATGTATTGTTATACTTGTTGCCTAAAATTATGCCTGACTATTTCAGCATATCTGATGACACATCCCCTTTTAATTTTCCTTCGACAAACACTATTTATTAGATGGCTAATTTTGAGATTTTATGTACTTATACAAAGATTTACAGCTTACAAAATCATTCCATGCTTCCGAGGCAGCTGAGCAACTCACTCATAAATAAAATTGTAACAGTATATGTAAACATGCCACATATATATATATATATATATATATAAAATCGTTGACGCGCTTTCGACAACTGATTGACGGCTATAAAAATAGACTAAAACCAAAAAATTGGAAATAAAATGTCGCGGCTATAAATTCAAAACCACAAAGAACAAACAACTTAGGGGGACTAGCTGAACACACAATTCTGCTGAAAAGAAAATAAATAGACAGCTTTTTATGAACCATGAAATTAATTTATGTTTACAACAATATGAATTTTTAAAATGTCATTTACTGTGGAAACAACAATGCAAATGAGCTGTACTAAAGGACTGCCGATGGTGTCTAGAGAAAGGTGTTGTAGTCGAAGAGCGCTCTTGTTGACTTTATTGAATTTATGTGACGATTATTTTGATCGTCACCTTTTTATACCCGTACACAACATGCTACTTGTGAAGTAACTTTTTAGCTTTACTGATTCTTTAATTAGAAGATCTTGTTCTTTGTTTTTTTGGACGTAATTTAGAGTTATACGAATATAATCCCAACGCATATACATTTTAATGCAACACGAAACTAAGACTTCCTTACTTGAAACTCTTTTATTGTTGTTTTGTTACATTGTAAGTTTTTGTTTTGTTTTTGAGTTCGCGTCCTCACACCATAAAACTGTTTGCGCGTTCAACTCTTTTTGGTTTGTCATTCCCAATCGTTGCTCCAAGGTGTTGATGACGATTATGGCTTTGTTAAGCGTCCGAAAGTAGTTGTCACCCTACTGTTGGTGCAGAATGAAAGAATAAATACTTTGTAGACGTCTTTTTATACAAATTCCTCTTTACCAAAACAATCACTTGGGACACGCTTAATTGCGGAAGTCTTTGTCAGTATTTTATTTTCTGCTACCCATGCAGGTGGACGAGGATGAGGGGAAACCCTCATCATTAACGCCTTACTTAGTATTTATTTGGAGACGTATTTTTGTTTTAAAACTTAATTGATTTTAAATAAAAGACTATTTGTTGACTTACTCGTTTATTGCATATAGGAGATCTGACAGAAGTGAATCACAATTAGATTATGTATGTACTTTTACACATGTATATGTATAAATTGCAATTGTTAATCACAAATTAAATAAATATAGTTTTAACTCGCATTTGTTCAATGAACCTGCTTATTAGATGGTAGGTTAGGCTTATTCTTAGGTGCTCAAGCTCTTTCTACTCTTTTGTAACCAAGTGATAATGTATCAATTATTAACGAGATGTAAAACAACGAAGCACACAATTTAGCTTCTTGGACTTATCGATTCAACATTTCGTCAAAGGGAGGTCGGAAATTCTACGCATATGCTACGCATAACATAAGATGCTACAAAAAAGTCAATAATTATTAAATTTTCTTGAAATTTGAATGGTGCGGACATGTTTCACGTAGTGACACATTTTGTGTAATGCTCTTCTGGCTATCCACAACTAGCCTCCTTAGGGTTTTTACAAATCACCGTTACATATGACGCGCATCCTTGTTATTCAATATCCTAGGTCGACCACCAGAGTTGCCCGAAGACGACAAATTATTTTTTTGTACTGAGATGACTGTTGTTCTAATTTTTTGATTTTCTTTACGTTTAAAGAAATAAATAAACCTTTCAAATTAAAAATTTCAAGCAAATTGAATAATTATAGACTTTTTTCTAGCATCTTACGTTGAATTTTGAGGAACATTTGTCCAGTATTGCTCGCTACTGTAGCTGCCATACAAACTGAACGACCGGAATCAAGTCCTTGTATGGAAAACTTTTGTATTTCGGTGCGAAATTGACGTTTTTTCCAATTTGTTTCTTCTAAAATTGCATACAGTAAACCCATTTCGAAACATAAATACAATTTTTTTTTAATAAATCTGCCCCATCTAGTGGGACCTGGATTTTAAATAAAACAATTTTGATCTTTGTTCATTGTCAAAATAAACTTGTCATTTCAATTACACTGTGTGATCAAAAATTTAATACTTTTTACAAAACGAATATTATTAGTGAACGTTAGCTAATAAATACAATGAGGTCTGCTGCTGAAACAAACCGATTGCCAAATGTAATTGTCAATTATAAAAAACAATTTAAATGCTTATTTGAATTTTAATTATTAATACATGTTTTATAAGTTATATAGATATGTATACATATATACATACATCCATACATATGTATGAAATATATACGTATGTACGCTTAAACTAATGTATTGTATTTGTATGGAATTTTGTGCTTTGGCGCGCTCAGCATTCATCACCATCAACTAGCTCCATAAGAAACGACGAATTTATTTTTGGGCGAATTTGGAATACTCGTAACAGTATTTCGCTGTAAGCAAGAAAAGCAACAAATCGGAATTGCCAAATCAAATCAAATGAAGATGGATTGACATCACATCACATATGCACACATCAGCGGCTTCGCATGAAACTCGAAATAGCCGTGAATCTGTGGTGTTTCTTGTTGTTGTTTTTGTTGCCACTGACTTATTGTTTTCTTTGTTGGCCGCATAGAAAAAATGTGTTTCAACAAATTTGATCGAGTTAAAATATCCAAGCCCTCTCTTTTCCTCCCTTGAATAATCCCGCAACTGGCACCAACTGAGCCCACCTGCACTGCGCGAACACCGGATCTCTAGCTTTCTGTTTACTTTTTCCTTTTGCACTGCCATTAATACTCTCTACGGTATTTACGCGTTTGCACACATACAACAACCACATCACACATTGATACACACGCGCTGTAACACATTTTTATCGCTACGCTTGGCTAGTTTGTTTCTTCTATAATTTCTTTTTTTTTGCATTTTTGTTGTGGGCAAAGCACTTATGAAAAATTCATTTCGCAATCTAAGCTCGTGTGAGCGCTTCTAAATATTTTATACGACCACTGCCATTACCTGTTCCTGCCCCGCCACTTTGGCTATCACCCGCCATCTATGCTATTTCCGCTATGCAGCTGTGTGTTAGCTGAATTTTTTCCTACGCTTTTTGTTTTTGTAAGTTTTATTTGAGCAACATAGAAGCGAATGAATTGCGAAATTTCACTTTTCTTATTTTTTCTTTTATAATATATTCCAGTCGATTTTACTATTACTTAGTTTGGATATTTTGTTGTTGGCATTATGTGCTCCTCTGGCTTCCTGCAACTTTTCCTTGCCAATTTAAATGGTTGGCATTTGTGGTTGTGCGGCTGGATTTGTTGGTTGGTTGGTGGTTTAAGTAACACTGACATTTGCTGGAGTGGAGGCACTCAAAGGGATTTTCGAGCTTTTAGCTCACATGCATATGCATGAACATGCAACGATATACATACCTATGAACTGAATGTGTTTGCAAATAAGCTGTAATCTTCTTCAGGTATTTGATGCGATCTTATTTAAAGCTGAAAGCACATTTGTAAACACTTACATACATTACATATTGGCACAGCAGTATACCTCTTATTTCAAAATTATTATACACAGTATCATATTGTTGATATCATACCTTAAATGGAGCTAAAAGTGTTAATTTTGTATTTCTTGTGAATTAAGGACAAAAATCGCTTAATTTTATAAAGAAGTAAAGAAGGGATAAGTTCGGGTGTAACCGAACATTTTATAGAGTCGCAATTATGTGTCAGGTTTATATAAAACATGTTTTGCAAGAATTCAACATTCATTATTCGAAGAAACTGTCAATAGGCTACAATCATAGGATAAAAGTATCGACATATTGTCCCACATAAGCGGTTTAAAGTCAGGCGGAAAAACGGAAATCACTCTATAGGGTATAAAGGGGGTAGAGAAAGATGTGGACTGATAGCATTTACTTCGGGCATTACTTAAGTGTACTCGATGTTAATCAGTATGTTTCCACGCAATTTTATGAAGATAACTCGCACATTGATTGACATATTAGACATTAAGTCTGCTAGACTAATAAAAATCATTATATGTAGTATGTAGGTATATATAGGAGCTGGAGTGATTTAGGGACTGATATTACACATTTTCCCCATTAAACTATATTATATCCAATATTAAGCTTAATCTTGCTAAGATATCTTACATGATATATATGATTTAAAGCCAACCGTAAATTTCTGATTATTATATAAGGTGTATGACAGTTACATTTAGTATAGGCCCTCTTTTATCAATTTTTGACACCACGACATAAAATTACCAAACAAAAATGCTCTCTGAGTTTCATTAAGATACCTCAAAGTTTGACCAATATACATATATGGTATAAAGTCAACTGGGTGCATGAAAATATATTAGTTATTCACCCGATTTTATCCATTTTAGTCACCAGAATGCCCAGTTTTTAGAAAGAGAAGCTCTCTGAATTTCATTAAGATAGCTTACATATACAAGTATGTATGTATATGCGGTATGAAGTCAACCGGATGATTGAAAATACTTACAAGTATATTAGGTATATGGGAACTAGGGAAAATATTCTACCGATTTTAATCACTTTGACCCAACGGCACGTTATTATTGGGAAAAGCTTCTCTCTGAATTTCATTTATACATATCACAGACTGAACGATAAAATGTCATCCATAGACACTGGGATCTATATATTCGGTATCTGGGGGCTTGAAAAGTTAAAATCCGATTTTGAAAATTTTTAGATAAGAAATTAAAGGCACCATTTGGGCAAAGTTTTATCCCGTTATATTCATTGGTGTTTAATTTGTATACTCTAAAGTGATAGAATCAAATGGAATTTAAACTAGTGTTATGTAGGAAGTAGGCGTGGTGGTCCGTAATATAGGAAAGTCGGGAAATGTTAAGTCGGTCGAGCTGTTCTTGGGATATGAGATTTCACTTAAGGGGTATTCTGGTTTAGAAATTAAAAAAATCGATTTTGTTTTGTGCATATTATTGTAGTATAATGCTTTAAGAATATGCCCCTAAAAAGATTTTTAGAAATTTCAATTTTTTTCGCAGTTACAGCTCATTTTGTGATGCGCCGATAAAAGCGACTGGGAGCTTCTTTTTTTTTTTTTGGTCCGAAAAGGAACCTAAACTTCGGGCTTCTAAACCAAAATACCCCCTTAATTTAAAATTTTGAGCTATTGTTTAGGGAGTTATCGTATTTAGTAGTTTGCAATATAACCATTAAATGAATAGTGGCTAGGGTTATCATCATATTTTAACATGTAGCTTTAGTTGTTTGTAAGATATGTACATTAAACCTTTTAGGGAACGGGACCATTACCAATTTTTAGTGCGATTCGTTTTACTAAGGTGATTCACACATTGACCAATATATTCGGTAGTCTGCTAGAATAAAGAAAATCGTGACGATGATGCAAATCATGGAAAAATTTCACTAATTTTGGGCATTAAATTATAATATACTTAAATGTATAGGCTGGGGCATGTAATGATATGATTTTATGGCATGTATTTTGATATAAATAACTCTATATCTATCTCGATTAGTTTAGATGTTACACTCAACTGTTAGGGTGAATGCATAGTGGACGCTGGAGCCGAGCTCAAAGCTGACGAATGCGAGAAATCATCTTCAAAACCGAAGCCGAAGATGATCAATGCGAGAAAACAGTTTTTAAGCGTTTTTCGGAGTGGGTGTTGCATAGTTCATTTGTATGTTGGTATGGTCGTCTACTATTTTGCTTACAAGAAATGACCATGAATGGGAAAGAACGATATTTAGAGTACCCGCTATTAATATTTTCAAGTCCAAATTTATGACGGGAATTACTGAATCTATCGAAAAATAATAAATACCCGTATATTTTACGCCCTACAAGTATTTTCTTTCTTTTTCGCACAAATCGTGCATTAATTAATTACATTTATTGCTTAAAATAAAATTAAAATCGAACTCAATCTTCTGCGGTTAAAAGAAACTGTTACGAACAGGAAACAGAACAGAACAATATATGAATCTCGTATTCACTCTGCGGTACCTAAAATCGATCAGCGCTGATCGAAATCAGTTTGCGCTCGACTCGGCTTTGAGCGTCCACTCTGCAAGCACCCTTAGATGAACAAAAGTATGTGACAACATGCCGTAAGGGTCAACGTTTCAAATATACACGATTTACTAACATAATGTTTTCTGTGACTTTTTAAGCATATTTACTATTACTCAAAGTAAATAAAATAACCAAATAAAGAGGTTTCTCAATTTCGGCGCTTTATTATTCTTAATCAATGGATCGACTTGGCAAAGACGCAGCTAAAGATGGGTAAACGTCAACATATACACTACTTTTTCAAACCTTAACCGTTTTAGACTCTTTCTAAAATAACACTAGGTGTTTTAATGAGTTTAAACTCCCTCCTCTAAGTACACCACTCTACTCGGGAAAAACTAGCACACCCTAATGAAACAGACCACACATGTGAACACTCAAGTAATTTCCCCCCACACGACGACACCACCACACTCAACCTCAAGAGACCAACATGCATGAAGCCATCTAACTAAAAGGACGGGAGAAGGATCGCTAAATCTGCATTCGCTTAAACGTATCCGATTGAACAGCTGGCACGAAAGCCACAACTTTATACGTCAACCATCGCGGTCACCGCATCAATGCTTATGCAATTCAACAACGCAACACAATTGTTTCGTGAACGTAATTTTTGGATCCTCACGGCCTCCTGTTTTCGGCCCGAACAATTGTAGCGTCTTCCAAACATCAATTTAATCTATTTATAAATCATTTAAAGTTTGCAAACTCCCGAACAATTATAAATTTAATTAGTTTGTTTATACCCATTACTCGGACATTTTCATTTACGATGTTTTGTGCAAGTGTCTAAAATATTCACTAGGCGACAAAGAATATTCATTTTG